ATTGTTTTTCCTTAAAAAGTTCCATATTATGTTGGTATCGTTTATCATGTTGTTTTGCTGTGGCTCACGCCACGACTTCGTCGGCGTTTCGAGATCATGTATCATGTGTATTGGACGCCATCCAGACCATACGAGCACATATTGGTGTGGAAATCGCTTTATAATTTATTCGACGCACCAGCTGTTCACGGAACACGAGAGCTTCGGTTTTTCCGGGTGAGCGCAAGAAAGGGCGAGCACTGGTTCTTTTGGTGCTAGTCACACTTCACATAGCCTTACAGAGTCGCTCTCCACATAAAGGATTAGCTTTCATAGTCTTAGTAGTGAAAGGCCGTCATGACGCTGAAACGGCGGCGTTCAGTTATCTCAACGGTCCAGCTAATGGTTAGCCCACGAATGCCATCGGGTCCGTAGAGACCATTGGTGTATTCGGAATTAATGCTTATTGTTGTTATTATTATGACAATGGCAGTCGTGGTCACAAAGCAGATTGGGAGCCGAAGGGTCGAGGGTGAACGAGCGACTTCGCATCAAGCAAGCTGGGAGGATCTATTCTAGATAATGGCGCGCTGCCAGGTGGCGCCAGTGCCTTATTTATTGCCAGGGCTGACCAAATTTTCGGCAGGCAGCTCCGAGGAAAAGTCGGGTGGCGGTAACGCCTTGTGGCGTTGGCAACGGTGGTCGCGGTAACAGAAGTAGTCTATAAGCGTTAGCCACTTGCAGAAAGAGGGGCCCGGCGACGAAGGTGCAACTGAAGAGCTTGGCAAGCCGACAAGCGGCAGAAGCGGAACCAGCTGAAAGCTCAGCAAAAGCAACTAACTCTTCTCCCCACAGTCTCTTCCATTTGTCGACAAATGCTGTCCACCGACTGCTACTGAGAAAGACGAGAAGACACACAAACGCACAGTATAGAAAGGTAGCAGCCGCTAAGGCCCGCTTAGCTTCCTAAGTGTCCTACGTTCAGCGTACCCTTGCCAGGATCCCGACTGGCCGATTATGACCCCGCGTCCATAACTGTTTTCCTCGAGCAAACCAATATGAAAGAAACTCTATCGTTCGACGTCGTAGGGGGGTGGAAGCCAGTAGCAGAAAGGCGGACGCCACTCAACTAACAAATGGACATTGCCGGCTATGGACGATACTGTGAGGCTCATTGGGAGTGGCTTAACCGTCTGCCAAGCAAATAACGTCCCGCTTCTACTCTCGAGCTGAGGCTCGAGTTAACTGCACCTAAGCAGAAGCAGCAGTAATAGTCTGTTGGGTTTGTGCGCCTTGAAAGAGAAGTGGATTTGTGCTTTGTTAAAATAGTAGCTAGTTTCCCATGCTATGAAGGTAGCAAGCTGGATTTTGTGTGCACGATGTTTGCAAACGCTATTGCCTAATACAACACCGATAGGGATTGTCTGTCACCCTTCTTCTTCGCTAAACTAGCTGAGCCACGGTCCTATCTCGTGATTCATTATTATGCTTTATCGTATTTATCAGTGCCTGTATGTTTCTTAGACATTTCAGCATTTTTTTTTTTTATCACCGTTTTGCATCTGTTAGATTTTACCTGAAGCCTAATGTTATGCACTCAAATGTCTTCGAGTTTGTGTTTTCGATATTACCTTGTCGGCTTATCGGATAACAGCAACGAATGAAGCTCAAAGCACAATACGGCGCTGTTGGGGAAACGATTAAGCTAGTCCAATAGTTAACGTATGCACGATTTTCGGTTAATCTGCTCTTTTTGATAAGGTCTGAGAAGTAACTTCAGAGCTGCTTGTCGAGCATTCGACCTCACTGGAATAGTCACATAATCTTAGCAATCTTAAATATCTTAGCAACAACTTTGATGCGTGACCTGAATAGTGGAAATAGAGTTTTCAGCGTGAAGCTAATTCTCTCTTTATTTGAAGGTTCTGGAAACTAGAATAATCGTACGTCTGATTGCTAGGCATCAACTCCAGGATCAGCGTCTCCGGTTGACAGTGAGGTTAACTCCACTAGGTAAGCACAAAAATATTTACTATGCTTTCTGGCTTCTGCATCGCCTGTGGCAGAAGTACCAGAAATCGATTTTTCCCTCACCTCTCTCGCGTTTATGCTTCGAAAAGCAACGTTATTTATAATTTTTGTTAAGACAGGCTTTTTCTCTAATAATTACCATCTAGCAAAATTCGATTAAAAAGCTGTAACTGAGTCTCTCGATTACCCGGTACAAAAATATATAAACAGTTGGTTATCAGCGATGACTCACTGAATATTGTGCAGTCGCTGTAGACAGTGAAAGGTAAATACGTTCGACGGCCGAATGTCGGACCTTATTAGTGTATTCACCGAGCAGATACAACGGCATCAAGCTGCTATTACTCGTTTTATCGAGACCAGAGGCGGCGTGTCTTCTGTAAATCGATCTTCGTTAGTATTCGCTTCGAAATCCTCACTGATCTTTGAACCTGTGCCTGAAACAACACGACCAGGACTCGAAAGTCACCGCACGACTCAGTACATCAGATGGAGGTCAACTGCATTCTGCTCCATTTGCTGCAGATGATGCCTTAAAGGCCAATACCTATGGCCAGACAAACGCGACGCGTGCAAAGCGTAGTGCTACGTAATTCGCAATCGCTTCGCGCCTACGCTTTGTAGCACAGCTTAGCCCGGTCATTGCCGAGAAGGTGCTCTTAAATGTAGGCATTTTGAATCTTTCGATCAATTGACGGACTCTTTGTTTTCGCTGCAGATCAGATTCCAGTGTCTCATATGTTTCTGGGTTTAACACCTGACAGAGTGAAACCAACTTCTTCCACAATCTACTGTATAGGGCCACACAACAACTGCAGCAGCCGTGGATTCCTATAAGGAATATTAAAAAGACAACGTTCATACTGATCCTCGAACAAAACGCATATGTTAAGTGCTATTTTGAACAATTAGTAAAATCACAATAATTCTGCTAAACAGGAAACCTTAGCTGATTTCTATTGCCTCATCGAAAACGTGCATACGTCACCTTTTTTTTCCATTTATTTTTATGTTCCAACTAAGTTATCATGTCAACAAAATAAGCAGTTCTTATTCAGCTAAATCTAAAGCAGACTCATTTCATAGCCCTGTGTTTGAATACTTATCGGACCATCTGAAACTCTACGATAGCTTTAAAGTGTACCAAAAAAACAACGTCAGAGTAATAGTAGACTTGCGCACATCTAAAAGCATACTCCATAGTCGCTGCAGGCAGTGTTGAAGGCGAACTTCGGCGGCCATTTTCAGCTTCATCTAATAAGCTATTGGAACAGACCAGTTCGGAGTGTTACCCACTTCGTTGGTTGATTTCAACATTTCTGACAATCAGACCACACGCAACTCGTTGCGCCCTCGCTTGAATGATTAAAGCGCCTAATCAGCACATGGCAAATCGTGGGGTACGAGTCGTAGTAACGCTTTAGTATATACACATTACTGTTTCGTCTTTTATTTACGGTCATTTTTTACCTTTTTTTTTTTTACTTTACAGGAATGCATTATAAATGAGAATATCTTGTAAATCTATAATGTTTGTTTATCAATATAAAGCGCAGAAGCTTAAAACTTAGCGGCAAAATACTTTGTCAAAAAACAAACAGGTTTCGGTTGTGTGTGTGAAAAATGAAAGTAGAGCATCAGCGAACATACATACTTTGTATTAAGGACTGAGTCAAGCATTGTCAAATGACGAACCCGGTTATGGATTAACGCTATGGGTTTATGTGTAAGTCTTTACTTGAGAATTACTGAATTAACCTCGTCGGGAAACGAGTTTGTCGCACGGGTCATAGTGGAAACAATTCAGAGCGAAACAAACTCACAGCAAATGGCTGATCTGCGTTTCGAACTAATAATGCACACCCGGTAAACGCTATTAACGCGCCCAAAGAAGTCAGCTGCGTTCCAAAAACGTTCTTACAGGTGTGGTTGCCGATTATAACGTAAAGACAAAACAGATCGCTTCGGTAGCTAGCTCAGACAAAAGGCAGATACAAGACGCAGAATACCATTACTAGTGCAGTAGGCGACTTGAGCACTTTTTTGAGCGCATAGGGATTTAATTATTAAGAATAGATAAGAATTCTCATTGAGGAAAAAGAGAAATTAATGAAAAGTCACCTGTATGAAATGTACACAAGTTTCTATAGCATAGCATTAGGATATTTAACATGATAAGGATTTTTTAATTTTTGTACACTGATCGATTAGTTATCTTGTGGGTCGAAATTACAGAGCGTTATGAAAATGAACTGGTTTAATTTTTTGTTGAAGCTTGAGAATAAAGGGCGTAATACAAATATATTTGTTTAAATAGGTTTTTCTACTAAATTTGATAGAGCTATAAAATGCTCTGTGAAATCAATGCGAAATTAATCGTCAAATGCTACTTTCGCTGAGCAGTCACGGTAAGTTTGAGGCCACTCGTGATTCACTCATATATTTAATTTGAAACAGATTGTAGGCTTTTAATAAGAGAGAAAGCTCAGTTTTATTTAAATATGTTTTACTATTAAAAAAAATAGTCAAAAATGATTTTTTCTTTGCAAAATTATCGGCCATCGGATGAAATCGTAAGTATATTCTAGTTCAAACACAAGCATTTCTAATCGTCATTTTTAAAAATTATAGATTATTTTCTGTTTTTTATCTTATAGAGCAATTCTTACATTTTTCATTAAGCAATGCTTGAACCCAGAGACCCAGAAGTTTATCTAGGGAAAGTGAAAATCGTGGCTGTGATACTAGTGAAAGAAACTCGAATAAAATCAATAAAAAAATCCTGCAAATGACGTATATTAACATTATTTGTGCTATATTATTAGTGGATTTTGCTAAGGCACCAGTTGTACATGGCCATGAGTATGAAATGAGTAACCGCATCTACAAATCATAGGAAACATATTATCAAGGAAGGCGTAAGGCAACGTATCCGCAGCGAAGTATTATACAATAGACTATAAACTCACTCTAAACCTAGGATCAACAGATTTGATTACATTCAAAAATAACTCTAATTCCTTATTTCCGGGCATGAAGAATAGGCATACTGCTTCTTGCTGTTACCTGATAAGCCTGCATAACAAAGTGAATAAAGCAAGACAAAAACATTAATACCTTAATTGAGAAATGTTAACATTTTATTGGTCTATACTGAAGAGTGGAATAAATAAACTCTGCCAAATACTGACTAGATAAAGATCTAACCACGTTGTTGTGTCATAATAAACTTTTAGATAACATTGTCAAATGTGGCAATGAGTTTCTACTTGTGTTGTATAAATATGGCACAAATAATGACAGCACAAAAAGTAGGAACTAATCTAAACCCACAAGACTCTTCCAAAGTAAATCTTATTCCTATCCTTTGTGTCAAAACAAAAAGAATCTCTCGTATTTATTGTCTAAACTATGCGCGTTCCGAGTAGCGGAAATCTTTGATCTCGTTATAGTTCCATTCCACATTTTCAGATCCATTTCCACGCGTCCAAGTATCCACCATGTGAACTTGAATAAACTTTTTGTTTTTTTTTTTTCAATCAGCGTCACTTTAGCCAAAATCACAATTTTACTAAAACCAATAAAAGATTATCTATGCACAAGGCACAATATGTATTCGGGTTGCCAGAAGCATCAAGGTTATCAGCAAAGCAAATACCTTTTACCTTGATTAAGGCAGGGCGTTGTTTTTCATCCGTACACGATACAATTTGTTTAGCAGCTGACCGATGGTGTTTCCTAAGTTGTGTCTGGCTGACCAAGGTTTCTTTCTAAGCTACTCGTTAAAAGGCAAGCCAGCAACCGTAGCCTACCTGTACCTGCAGGCATGGAGAACTATACATATATATACCAAAGGAAGATATACTATTTTTTTTTTACCTGTTTTTGTCTATTCTTCATTCAGAAAATGTTTCTAATAGTACGTTTTGTGTCTGTCAACTGTAACGTGCGTGGGAAGTTCGTAGTTACACTCAGTGGTAATAATTAGGCCGTCTATACAACAAAAAAAATCGGTATGTATGACAGAAGAGGTCTACGCGCGGGTGAGCTTGATTGGGTAGTTTTCTGTGATGAGGTGGTTGTCCTCGAAGACGATCACAACGTTGACCTCGAACTCGATCTTAAAGTTGGACGTCACTAGCGTGGGACAGGTGAAAAGTCTAGGAAAAACCATATGCAGAGGAAGATTGACCCCACGACACACATCACCTTCACCAATTTGGACATTCTGAATTTCCGTAGCTAAAAACAGTGAATCACACGCAGACAAAACGGGCAAAAACGACACTTGAACTATAGACCATGAACATTTAATAGGGCTTTTGGTAATGGAGAAAGCAAAATTTTACATGCAGAATAACAGCTGTCCTCAATATAAGAAGAAGCCCAATATAGATCTTACGGTCCGCTACCTATCGTATAGCTTCCGTGTTACCATGAAATAACGGTATTCGTCAAGCTTGAATATTGCCGCTGCAATGGACTCCAGACACAGTTCCTAACCTAGAAAATAATGGGGCATTCAAAGCCACGCAACTCTAACCAGCCATGATTAGCTAATTTGATAATAATAGGAAAGTAGATGTTGCTTACCATCACGTGAGTAGCCCTCTGCACATCCGCAGGTTTCAACGCGGATCAGCTGCAGCTCGATGGATCGGATCTTGGTATCGCAGTGTTCTACGCAAATCTGCAAAGATGAGATTATATCGAAATGTTGATATTGATTGTTATAGCGATAAATTAATAAGTGCTGCCAATTTCTAAATAATCCCATTGTCCATTAGAGCTCTTCCTTGTTACACTTATTTATTACCACACAAGAGTTTATCACAGCATAGATCATTAATTATTTTTGTATATTCACGGGGTGGATGTCGACGGGTGTACGCGATGGATAACGCGTGTGACTACATATGAGAAGATTTCAGGTTTTAATCCTGGGAAACTCGCATTTTAACCCAGTTATATTCGTAGATAACTATTACATACGTATTTAGCAATGTGACAAACGTATTTTGAATACTACTTTGGCTAAAAAACGCAATTACTAAAGCGGCTCAAAGTGTCCTTCCATATAAGCAGTAAAATGAAACGGTCCAGAGTTATGCACTAACTTGTATTGCGAGTTACAAAACTGAGCCAACTCTGCAACGATGTTATTTTTAGCATATGCAAAAACACCCACATAACGACCCACAAATAATATTAAGTGTGACATTACCGTGGGTCCGTGGCGCAATGGATAACGCGTCTGACTACGGATCAGAAGATTCCAGGTTCGAATCCTGGCGGACTCGATTTGTTTTTCACACTCTGGGTCAATTTATGTTAAACCCGATGAGCGCTTTGTTAAATTTTATATTTATTGTATGTGCCATATGTTGTCGCTCCAATTATCTAGCGTGATCAGAAAAAAGTATTTTAATGAACAGTGTGAAAAATAAGGCTTGGTGGTTACTCAGAGTATTTTACATTGAACAATATAGCGTTGTTCGATTCGATTTTTCTTTTGTATCATGTGCGTAGTGCACCATTGAAGGAAAGCTCCTTTTCAAGGGATTTTTTTTATTATATTGTTTTCACTCCACTGCATTGTCCGTAATTAAATAACAGTCACCAAAAATCAGTAATCTCTAGTGTATTAGTCATAACCCGCAACACACGAACATGTATCATTTTAGCGCTAATAATACGTTTAATTCAGCTAAAAATGGTATTTTACATTCAACAACAGGTTACGACTTCTACAAGGCATTAAAATTGCTTCCTTGGAATATGAGATGATTCTAAACATCTTATTAGATTTATTAGACCGAGGTTCCATTTTGTGATATGAATTGAATAGTCGGACTATTGAATTCGCCTATTTAACTATGCGTATTAGTACATTACATATGTATTAACGAACTGAGGTGAATTTAGTTAAATACATGTCATACGAAAGCGATTTTATCGTAATTAAATACAACAAATGTCAAATGATGTGATAAGTCTGTCTTCACTCACTTAAGATTATCCGTTGTAAGAATATTGCGCACTGGCAGAACGACACCCTCAATAATCAATTTTAAAAGGAAATATTGTTCAAATATAATTACCGTTAGATAACGTCTATTGTACAGCTAGCCACAGTTATTTTTATGCGTGTATCAAATGGGTGCTTTAACCGAATCCGTATACGTTACATGCTCAGGAGTTAGCATATCGGCCCACTTACATCCTGTACCTCTCGAACAATGACCTCTGTTTATACGAACACTGTACAATTTAGTTAGTGAATGTTCATATAACAAACATGTGTAGAACCATAAACTCCCGTGGGTCCGTGGCGCAACGGATAACGCGTCTGACTACGGATCAGAAGATTCCAGGTTCGAATCCTGGCGGACTCGATTTCTTTTTCACACTGTCGGTCAACCTATGTTAAACACGATATGTTCCCGTTATTGTTAACCCTGTGAAAATTCGGAGGTGACCGTGTGATATAAGACGTACGATCTCACAGGAGCACCAAAGGGATCTATCTGTACCACCCATCTAGTCTATACTTTTTTTTTTTAGGTATCCCATATTCATTAAAAAATTTGCACTGGAAATAATGTTTAATATTATTACTGGTTCTTTACAACTGGTAGCTTATGTATACTTTCCTTTTACCCGAATATTACTAATTATCGTTAAACTTCAAAACGGCACGTGTAGACTATGCATGAACAATACTCTATGCGTAACCTAATATCTACAGCTACTTTAATATTTCTATAACAAACCGTAAAATATTAAAACTGCTTAACGAAAAGAAAGTATCCAACGTGGGGCTCGAACCTGTAACCGTAATATTAAAGGTCTACCAAGTGACCTCACCACCCATTCTTTCACTCCGCCGCGATTTTTCATTTGACTTTTTTTTCACTTCATTTTTTCACCCTATCTCCCTTTTACCTTTGAATCTAAAGAAAGTTTGCTGAGGTTCTCGTAATAGCTTTGTAGTGGGCAACATATTTGTCTGCTAATTTAAGGCACATATTTTGTATATGGCATAGACAGACTCCGTTTCGCGCTGGAACTCAGTTGTTTAATGGAACGCCTAACAATGATACCGGACGTAAAACTTTAGACATAGAGGCCTTTCGTAGTTAGCCCATAGTTGGGACATTGATAATTTAAGAGCAATGCAACAGGAAGCAGTGCCATTATATAAGTCTTTATGACACACTGCCACAAAAATGTTTGCCGAAGTTTTTCGGTACTTTTTCAACATATTCTTTTGTTTTTGGTAGTGAAGGTCTCTCAGAGAAGAACAGTATAGAAGTGCAAATGAAATAAGTGATTAGCACAAATAAATATATATACGCATGATTCTTTTATAACGAAACACCTAAATATTGTCTTTGTCAAAACATTGACCAATAGAAGCGTGAATTTGACTACACAAGCAATATAACATTTGATATCCAATTGAGAGGTGACGCATTCAAATTTTGTGTAGCGAATACAGGAAGCAATATCTTCAATACTACGTCATCTAGTGCGCCATCATTAAGACTACATGTTATTACGTTTAACAAGCTCTGATGAAAGATAAACCTTGTAATCTACAGAACTAAACGACTATTCCAATATTACGTTTAACACTCATATGCTTAGTTTCACGTGATGCATTTGAACGAAGTTTGACAGAACTGCAGGGTTGAAAAGAAAATACACAATTCACTATCTTGTTAAATTATTACTGAATCACCATGCTCCCCTATATTGTAAAATAGTTCCCCCTTTAATAAATAATTCCATTTTATTGATGATGAGGTTGACTCACGAGTTATCAATAAATATCTTATTTAGAAAATGGTATATGTCATCTTATTTCCGAAATTGTCGTTTTGCAGAATGCACATAGATCCAAAGATATTTACCGGCCAAAAAAAATTGTGCCGTAAAATTTATGCGCCCAACGTGGGGCTCGAACCCACGACCCTGAGATTAAGAGTCTCATGCTCTACCGACTGAGCTAGCCGGGCACGCTCAGCGTAGGTAGGTGGTAGCGGTCATCCTATTAAAGTTATAGTATCAAAACTATACTAAAAAGATACTATTTGATTATAAAGCTCAAAACTGGCTTTGAAGTGCAGAACACTAAGACAATTGGCGCCCTCTATACTATACTGATAAAACCAATCAGACACCAACAGCCTCGTCACTCTAAAAGATTCAAACTCCTGATGTTGAGTTATTTCAGATGTATACTTTAAAATGCTAAAAATATAGTAGTGTTTTCCAGCATATTTAGAGATATTATAAGTCTGATTAACTATTAAAGCCGAAAATCAAATAGTCAGTATATACATTGATTGAGTTCGAATTGAAGCTATGAAACATTTCTACGTTACGCATGTCTCGCATATTGAATCGCTACCGTAACCACTGCAAAATTATTACACCAAATTATTACTGTTGTCAGAATAGGCATTGCGCATAGATTACAGCTGAGTATACTGCATTTTATGACTATACTATTATACAAAATACAAATGTTGCCTAAGGTGACAGAAAGATTATCGTAATTTTGTGAGAGGTAAGTTCAAAAAGATTCCCCCAACCAGTGATAATTTGCACGCCAAAGTAATTTACTAGATATTATGATTATTATAGTTTGTCGTGACGTTCTGTACATGCCTTTGTACATGTTTTAGTAGGTGATTGTGTAAACGCGATCGATATACCGTTACCATAGGATCGATACGATTGGATCTTGTATCCAAAACATCTAGCTGTCTCGAAAATACCTGATTTCTTATAAAAAAAATTTTACGCTATTTCTGGACACCTAAATCCTTTGAAAATACATTCGCCTTACCTTAGCTCTTATTTTATTATTATAATTATTATCTTATTATTAAAATAGATCCAATTATGGTATCTGAAATAATCGAATCTGACATTTAACGAGTGAAACGAGCTTCCAATAATAGCTCAGTTAAATAGCTGACAAGTGATGTGCGAAATCGGTCGTCTATTTTGGTGCCATAATGATGCCTTCGTACATGTTTCGAGTTCTACGTGCGGCATTGCCTTGAAGCATTTTGGCCATAAAAGTCCTGTGACATAAAAGTTATATGTATTACAGAGAAAATTAGGTGTAATGTCAGAGCAATTTATAGTTTGCTATAACCCACTTGATCTCGAGGATATCTCGTCTCTTGCACTTTAGCCCGACATCGTGTTTAGCCCTGCTAGTATAATACACAGTAGATAAAAAAGAGACATTTTAATAAGGACATTAATTTAAATTAATTATTATTAATTAATTTAAATAAAATAATTTTTGTTTTAAATTCGAAATTTCTGTACATGAGTTTTATTTTTTGCCACTTCTTCTTTTCAAGTTCTTGAACGTTTAGTATATGGGTTCTGTAATGAAAATTGGTAATTTAAATGAACTTCTCTGTGCAGTTTTACAATATAAAGCATCACTAAGTCAATTCTTCCCACTATAAACCAGCGTTACGACCCACATAGTGGGCGCTTCGCGTGCGGTTATGGAGAGAAAAGATATTTAGACAAAAGCCTTATGTTGTAATTATTCCTATACAAGGCGCAGAAGACGTACGTAATGTTTTGTATTTCTCATGTATATATAATAGGCCAATCACGTTTACGGCTCATTCTTTACATGACCTATACTTCAATTTGTCGTTTGTTGCATCAGTTTTATGCAAAGCTATGTACCATTAATTTTGTTTTCTTTTCTATTTTGAGAGGTCGACTTATACACGAACATTGCTGGAAAAGGAGTTTTGTGCTTTTTTGAAATCTGCGGTATTCTTAGTGTACAATGAAAATAAGTATAAATATAACCCCGTATAAATATATCCGGGCACCAGAGTTTCAAAGTGCAGCGTAAAATTGGGGTCTAACAAAGAAGCAAATTTGAACTTACGACTCCGGTTAGAGGATGGGTAATTCTGCACTGTGTTGAGTCGATTCGACCATGGATCGAGAACGAGGGAACTTTGGAACGGTCGAAGACGTTCTGTAGACTTTCAGGCGAGATGTTAATATTTACCGGTCGATTGTTAGCCCTTTCTGCTGACTCCTAAATCGAAACGCGTTGCAAACGCATAAACCGTTGGCACGTAATAATCACTATACAATTTTAAGAAAAAAATTGTTTTATAAGATGACACATTTAATCACATCTGCATTGCCTAGAAGAACATAGTACGCAGGTATTTTTTATGGGAGAAACCAAAGTGTTAAGATCATTCTGTAGGATGTATCAGCTAAATCTAGAAAAAGAAGCCAATATTTAATCAGTCTTAACGTAATTAAACCATGATAATTCTAGCTTTCTTTATTACTTCAGCAGAAATATTTAAAAAAAAAAGTATTCTATTTAATATAGCTACGATCCGCATTGTAAAAACTTCAACTCCTGCCCACAATCATGTGTCTTTCACAAACATTTTATATCTAAAATTGGGAAGGATTTTATTATAGCTATGGTGAACGACGCGCTAATGGCATGAAAACCTCTTAGAGCCTGGCTCATATACGCCCTAGCTAATATATTTACTTGATAGATTGAGATGTTAGTTGTGAATGTTAATTGCGAAAAGGTAAAACGAAAGTAACGATTTAATAATATTTGTTGTTCGCAAACAAAGCAGCGAATTGTTTTTATAAACGTTGCGGGACCCTATGAACGCTTTGTTAGACCCAACTGAATTTTAATTTTTTTTTTGGCCTATTTCGTATTAAAGAAATCCACCGTGGCGCAAAGAAGGCAAATCTATAATTTTGTTATCAAGCAAAGTAATCTCTGTCCCAGTAAAAGGAAAAGCGCTGAAAACTATTAAACAATGGCACGTTGTAGTATATTCTAACATTTTTTGTGAATCTATGTAGTTTGTTCACCTCGCACCTTAAAGATGCGACAGATCTGTGGATAAATTCAGTGAGTTATGAAATTCATCGCCGAAAACTAACCAGCTTGTATTCGAGCATAAGCTCTTGGGAACGCATGATGGTTTTTGAGTAGAGTTTACTCCGACGTAGCTCCGCTTTGATGAAATACTGAATATTGATAAACACTCCGTGATAGGTCTCAAATAGCGGCCGATTGGCCTTTAATGACCGAAGAGGAAATTCAAAGGGGAACCGGTTACATCCTGCTGGCAGCTGGAACCAGAAGCCATCCAAACACCGAAATAAACCATACATAAAAGAGGTTTTTTTCGTTAGTTTGAAGCTCAGTTTGGCTTGGATGATGGCGAGGAAATGTTAGAATAATCTAAAGCTACTGATCTACCAAACAACAATCCATTACATGAATGTTACTTGTTTTTGCCTCTTCAAACTGCCATTGCATTAAACATTAATAATACAAATATATACTTCTGTATTTATTTTGTTATTGAAAATAACATCGCTTTCAATTAAGCATTAGAATATCTAAATCAAAACTATCGCCATTAGTATTTCCATGATGATTGCCGATATACTTTTCCAGGCTTGAGAACGTCGATCGTACAAAACGATAGAGGGATGGGCCTCACTGACGACACCAGAGCTTCAAGGAGTCCAACACTTTTTGGCGATAATTCCATCTTGACGACACCTTCGACTGTGATCACCAGACCATCGTGTTTAACTTCGCTGTTACTGTCTACAACAATGAGACCGCTCACCGTCTCCTAACAGCCATAGAGATCAGAAAAGATATACATCTATCAACTGAAAAGAAGCTAGATATAATATATGGATATGTTTTTACAGTGAGCATAAAAAGGGCTCAATGATATCGATTTATATTATCTGATCCATATTGTATAGACTCCTAGAAAAACGATGTATTATTAGTAATTTTGTAAAAAACGATATACCACTTCATACCAATAGGAGCACATTTAACATTGTTCTTCTATCTGCTCATTTAAAAATTTCGCATAGTGATATGATGCTGGTCTAATTTTGCTTTATGTTTTATGTAATTTACCGTGCTTTGCCCTAATAAAAGTGACGCATTTGTTTGAAACAAGAAAGCGTTCGAAATAGAAATAAACGACTATGGAGATAATCCAATAAGCTGTAATTTTAATCCACTACATGCTTAATATGTGCATGACTATTTAATGAACCTATTTATGTACCTTTTATACTCTTAGTAAATTGCTTTTAGAGAAAGGAATAAAGCAAACGAGCACAGCTTTTTACAGAATATTTTTTTAGTTTAAAAATCATTCAGTTATTGTCCGGTGATAAAGAACACACTGATCAAAGAGCACAATGAAAGAAAAAGACGTCAAATAATTTGTTTACTTGTTCGATAGGAGCTGACACAGCATTTTGTTTAAGCTCGTACAAATCATAACTACTATCATTGAGCGCTAAGAAAATTGCCCTTACGATTGATTTAATTGAGTGTCTTTAGACACCAGCACGTAAGCATAAGCTATTAATCGCGTAGAGATCAACTTATTGGCAGTCGTCGTGGTGGCTTTATAAGAGTATTCTAACACCCATAATTATCTGAAAAGCAAATTCTAGTTTAAATGACAAATGTGTAGCTTATAGACTGTCCAGGCAATGAACTCTCGTTCTTCTTTGCCTTTCATTTTGTACAACAGTAAAGTTTCTAAGTTTCGGAAGTGTTTTTACAGATTGTCCTGTACCAATTGGATTTGTGCAGTTAACTACAAATCACTTTCAAGAACAGTCCAATAGGAGACCTATTTTCATTGAAAATCGACGGTGTCACGATCAATTGTGCATACGATCGCGGCTACCAAAAAAAAACTTACATCCTCGAAGTATGTTTTATTGGCCCTTTTTAGCCGGATATCCAGTAAAGTCATTACGAACTTAACAAATTCCTCGATTAAACGATATCTGTTCTGAGTGAAATACTCTCACGTGCTTAAAACAAAACACTAAAAACAAAGAATTTCATTACAACAAACTGTCAACACTCTGGTGGGAACTTGAAAAGCGTTAACACCACTCGCAGCTGTTAACCAAAGTGACAGGGTTTCGAAACACATGAATAACCTAGGCCGTGTGTAGCATTTGCGGTTCCGTTGTTTACGAGCGGTGCTCTTAATGAAAGATGAAGCGGAACACGGCTGTCCAATTCTGTTTCAGTGGGCATGCAAGTCCGCTCCTGTGTGCAAATGGCTGTGATCTTCGATTTTTGATTCTTCACGATTGTAAAATCGATCGATGTGAGGTAGCGACACGCGGCACTAATGGCTGACCCCGGAGTAGACGAAAATCGTGTTACAACTTTTGTTCAAGGTGTAGGAGTATAAAAAAGACGTATAGCACGCTGTATCTAATAATATAAGGGAAGTTAAAAATTTTTTTTTGTGAATGTGATGTTATAGAGATTCTTCACTAAGTATACATTTGGAACGATTATTTGAAATGTTTAAAACCCTTATAGTGGGCATATTGCGACAAGTTTCTCCAGTTGCACTGGTGCTGGGTTCTCTGTTATTGACAAAAGGGCAAAAAGCCCTGAAATGGACATTAAATGAATGATCTTGTATCGGATCAATGTCAACCTTTTTACCGGTGACGAAAGTTGTAATCGGGAAGTGAGAGAAGGTTCTGAAAAACGGCAGAACATGTAGGTTCCTTCTCAGCTTACACGATTATGTTTTTAATTCATGAGGCGAAGCAATTACGCGAAATTGAATATATGATATTTATTGTATTCTTACTATTTACGAAAGCTGACTATATAAAAGTATTCAGGTTATTAACTTACAACTTTTGCCATAACTGTTTACTTAATATCTCTGCAATAACTATCTTATAGAATATATATAGCGATCTAGGACTCCGAAATAGAGTAGAGCTTGGCGAAAGGTAGATAATAAACACTCGAATTTAGGCCAATAATTCATTCTTGATTCCGAATAATAAAGTGACGTTTACCATAAATATAATTTCCAGAAGTTTACTGCGGGGTTAATACACATAGCTCCATTCCAGTACTCCATTTTGTCGGTGTGTGGTGGCTCCAGTCAGATCCTAAGGACCTAAATCTGGTGTGCAAAACTCGCTAATGTAATTGTATAGTAGAAACTTTGATATACTAATGAAAATAATTTATTGTTGCAACTATGTATGTGATTTTGTTTTTAAGAACACTCCATTCACAAAGTCTTGCTTTATATTGTCCTCTGAAACCCCTTTTTTACAAAGTTCATTGCGTTCACAGACACAGGGTCCTTCTTCTAGGTACTAGAGAGATCTAATTACTAAAATGAGGGCCCTCTCAGCTGAGATAAGCGAACGCGGCTTACAAAACGGCTTTCGAACAATTGGGTTTTCGCATAATCCCAGAAAAAAGTTCTATCGGACTATAGATACTATTATTTCCATTGTAGAGTTTCTAGTACTTTTTAGTTGCACCGTGCAGCAGCATCTGCAAAGTATGAACAACTTTAGTTAAATACACCACGATCATATAATAATAATTTGCTTTCATATGCAAATCAAAAGCAGTAATACACGTATTGGCTTGCAACCCTATTATAGATAGATATGGGAAATACCAAAGGTTGCAGGTTTCAGTGAAGTTCACTATCAAACCATTAAATCACGACGATATAGACAAGAGCAGGGTCCACTACTTCCATGGGTTTCGAAAACAATCGTACGCGTCGTTCACTGTGGAGTGAGTCTCCCAGGAGCGGTCGTTGTCTTGCCAGAAGGTTCAATGCACCGGAAAACTTAGATCTCACTGCTCCTGTGCCAAGCCCATACCTCTTTCCTGGCCAGCTAGTAGTGGTCAAAACTCTCGATTGTACGTATCATTTCTGAAAACACGCTCACCTGCCATGTGGGCAGCATCGTAGCGGCCTGTTGCCTCAACAAGGTTTGTTATCGCCAGAATGGTCGCCGCAGTAATGGGCAACGCTGCCTAATCGACGATCCTTTCCGCCCCTCATTATAGTTCAATCGTAAACTAGCAGCCATATGTCTTACTGAAGAATGCGGGATAATCGAGTTGTTTATCGTGCACGGTCCTGACTATGGACAAGACAGATAATCTCTAAGAGAGCTTTGTTGTCATCTGAGGTTTTTCATGAACGAGTGCATCGGCTTCAAAAGACTCACGAATTTATTTTTTATTAGCGAACGTGCCAGAGCGAACGAAGAATAAGTAGTGAATCAAGATAACTGGATATCTTGTCATGGTTTGATAAAAGTCAGCTTTGATTTTTGTTTATATCGGATTGTAGATCTAAAGTTAACTAAGTGGTGTAGTACAAGTAGTCTTTATTGCTTCAACGGAACTCTTGTCAGTTACAATATCGTGTCAACGTTTTCGAGGTTGACTTGTAAGCAGATTGTGCAGATATCATTCCTCTTGTCTGATTCCAATCAAATGATACAATCTGGTGATGTATCTTGAACGAAATGTTTCTAGAAAGGATAGTGATAAATAAACAGTAAATGCGGCCAAAAGGAATTACACGATTTGGGTTAACGGACTACTCGCCCGGTGCTCTTTGTCCTATAACAGGACATGCGACCTTAAATCATGTCTTTCATAAATGTATCTCACTTCAGTGAACGTTAATTAGAGAAATGCGTGAAGTTCTGATAGCTGCATGAGAAAGCTTGTATTTTAATGGCTGAAAATTAAGCAATGATACTCTTCACGCGTACTAAAACTAATTTTTTTTACTTGTAATATGACGAAAAATCAGACCAATATATAGTACACTATACTACGTGCGTATGTAATCGATCCTATCAAAGGCTTTATTCAAATCGAAACAAAAGCAGAAAGCATCTAATTAAAATGGTTTAGATTCGTTCGGCAAAAGCGATCAAATCTTAAGTGAAACTAGTTCTGTTCGTTTTTATTAAGGTAGCTAGCATCAGTCCAGGGTTATCTATGTATACTACTTCAGGACGTACTGCTTAGGACGACTACAACGTAACAATGGCGAAGTAAAGCATAAAAGACAGAGATTGCAAGATCAGCTTGTATGTAGTGTACGTTTTACTTCGTTCTGACCAGCTTTCCATTATAGCTTCATGAAGAGGAATAATAGAAGCGCGACTTAATTTTGTTAGTTATAGGGAAAAACTATGATTACAATTGAAATAGATACGAGATTAAATACCGCTGTGTTTATTATTGATAGCTATATGCATCTTAATATATTTACCAAAATCACATACCCTATGTGTATTTGTTATAGTAAATACCAGCCCAAATTTAACTATAGTCATTCTTAAGCGTTGCGCGTGTCCACGCAGCCGATGAGTCCAGCGAGTAAGTTGAACCACAACTTTTGTTGTTGGCGGAGGAGTTGTTTAAATCTCATAAAGGTCGTCATCATATGAATGTCACTCATAGAGCTCACGATTTTGTTATCTAGAGCTAAAATAGTGTCATCGTAAGTGCGCCACACAGTTACCAAACTTAAGATTAGGCCGTTCGGTGTTAGTTGGCTAGCCTTGTGTTGCCTCTTAGCCAATGAAGCATCTTTTAAATCATTGATACGAATTGTCACTTTAAATATCATAGCATCAAAGGTGATCGTCGAATGCGTCTAAGTAAACGGTGCGTTTGTCCTGGAAGCTGGCAAAAAAGCTGGTTAAATTAGTGACATGAAGAAATCGTTTATTTCTAAATTCGACATTCAAACCCATCCCAGGTTGAAAGAAACGTAAAATTATATTCCTAACTTTTTTCAACCTGGGAGAGGAAAGGCCCATATTTTTTGGGAAGTTCTAAGCAACGTCATTGCTGCTTCAGTTATATTAGTTCACCAAATATTAGGCATCGTCGAAAAAAGTCGCGCGTAACTGATAGATCTCCATCGTTTCGATTGAGTTACATTTACTTCAGTTCAGTGAGCAAAGTAGGGACTGGCGGAGCCCGATCTAAATTGGCCAGTCCTCGTGCCGACATCACACGATCGTCCGAAAAAATCCACTACGTGGGCTCGAAGTCGGACAGTTTTACGTTTCGAACAGCTTGTTTCACATCTAGGGTCACATGTCCTTAAATATAAATACTTGAATAAATAACAATACTTAAATAAAACAAACAATTAATTAATATGCGATCAGGAAGCTGGTGCTATCCCATTTTAATTTTCGTCTGCTTATTCAGTATGGATATGTTTAAATGGATACGTTACATAATGTGACGTGCGTGCGTCCCTGTTGCATGCCATGTGCTTCTGTTACTCCTAGCGTAGCGTCAACGCTGCATCCATAGTTCGAGGGGCAGTCGTTAAAAGAAATTGTGCAATGGTACTGTCACATCGAATGTTGAAAACTTAGCATTCGTATAACGTCCTAGCCCGCACGCCACGAGCATAGGCTCACTAATATTTCGTTGAATAAAAGTCAACTGTCGGGTTTGATACGCGAGTCAACCGTACGACATAGCCACTGACGTCGCTGAGTAAGCTAGCGTTAATTTGTGCGATTATATCCCTACGAACTTGCTGCGCAGATCGAATTCTCGGTGTATTGTGCTCAATAACATTTTGGGTAAGTATAGAAAGCTGTATTAATCAAGTGGCAATTTTATCTGTTAATTAATCCTCTGTGGTTTGTATCTAAAATGTGCCGGCTGCTGTTCGAATACCCAATTTTCATCATCTCGAAATTCCTAAAGAGGAGAAGTTTCTTAGGCCCTAAATTTGCTCAGTCAAAAAAAAACTCCATCAAATTGAGACATTGGCGCCATTGGCAATTGATTCAAAATAGTAACCGTATGCTGAATGTAATGTTTTGTGTCCCTTATGTACGGTATACTCCCTCTGGCGTGCTTCCAGCCGCTGTTGATAGCAAATGTGTTGGCATTCCGACGCGGAGGCAGTGCTTCCGACTACGGGGTAACTACTTGTATCGATGTGCTCACCCATACAGGCTTATGTTCATAACGGTGCAGCTCATTTGTGGCACGACTTTTACTCTGTTTACCATCGTACGTGCTATTTTCCATCATCGTCGATGGTAAAAACCACTATTTGACAGAAGCATCCGACTAGAAATTAGATATCTGGAAAAAAAATCGAAAAATAAACCCAGCCGAAACTACTGGCTAGCTAATGGATATTGATTAGATATCAGGTCGTGGGGACTACTAAACAGAGCAAAACATACCGAGTAACTAGAGGTGGTCACTGAGCGTTCACATTTGGCAGGACTTACATTTTAGCTCGTTACCATTTGATGACATCAACTAGCGTGTCGTCGCACCCAGCGAACATTTCGACGAAAATATTCACCAGATATAGCTAGTTTGTAGTTATCGAGACTTTTCGACGCACTAAATGGTTCCGAATAACCTGATATTATCGTGGTATGTGATGCGCCTGTCGCCGCGCAATTGTCCATTCTAAAGTATTAGAGAATACCCTTCTTTTGAATGCCCCTCCAAAAGTCTATGAAGGACCTTTCAGAGGATATGAAAGACCTTGGGAGAACCTTTCTACTTTTGCGTTCAGACATTTTACGACTTTTCTGCAACACCTACGAAAACGACGCAGTTCTACTCGACGACGAAACTAAAGCAGTGGGAATTTTTTTCCCGAAATACTCGTTATAACGTTATTAGAATTGTCAAAGTTCGAGGGTAGGTTGCATTCGACGGAAACACGTAAAATGTTGGATACAACGACGATCACAAAGATCCTGATCAGTTCTGATATCGTTGTAAATCGTTGAGATGCAAACATTCGGCCGAGTTAAAATCAGCTGTGGCAAATCTAATGTTGATTTTATAGCTTGCAGATAAAAGATTCACATTCGTTGGATTATACACGTTTTAGGTTTTGCCTCTCGACCCTCATTATGCGCTCGCTTATCTCCTTACCAATTGATTGATAAAACATTTTCTGACTTTTCTCACTTTAATAATTGGCAAATGGGCATTAATTTTAACTACGTAACGTGTTTCACCAGATGGCGGTACGCCCACAATAAATAATGTAGTGTTGTAATCGGATTAATCCATTTATGTGCTTATATAT